GCGCTTAGTTCAAAATCGCGCGCATGCATATGTGAAACCTGCGCAACGCGACAACAGAACGCGTTGGGAGAAGTTGTGTAAAAAGTTGGTCGCGTAAAAAGAACACGTAACCCGGCGTGTTTTCGTTTCAACGAGAAAAAGTTCGAACTTTATTCGCAACCTTATGCAAGTTTAATGAAGTCTTTGTTTCATTTTCCGCGAAAATACTCTTCCTCTCTCTCCCCCCCTCTCCACCAGTTTGTATCTTTTTTTGTACTGTTGCAAGCTAGCCCAGGGTAAATTTGCACGAGTATATCAACAATGTAGTTATCGGATGGTAAAAAGCTGCTCTGCGCAGTGGTGGTAGGCATGCAAATGAAGGTATCGAAGGGACGAACTTTATTTCCTTATTAAACTTCGTGATTTTCCATTTATCGCGCGTCGCCGACCCGGTGCTTTCCATATTTCGCTAACGAATCGCTCGGCTTCCGATCGGAGAATTATAATAAACAGCAACGGAGGAAGACAGCGCCGAAGCAAGGTGCTCGCCAGAAATTATGCGCGCTTTCGTTTCGTGGCGGCTACCTCCGATCCGCCTCAGTTTGTACGTACAGGGTGTCCCAAAAATGTCTCGCAATCCGAAAGTAGGGGATTCCTGAGGTGATTTGAAGCAACTTTTTCCTCAGCGAAAATGCGATCCGCGGCTTCGTTTACGAGTTATTAACGAAAAACAGTGACCAATGAGGGTCGAACTCGGCTGGCGTCGCGGCGGACGGGCCAACGAGTGGTACTGGGCTCCGTGCGCTCGTTGGCTGGGCCGCCGCGGCGCCAGCCGAGCTCGCCTCTTATTGGTCAGTGTTTTTCGTTAATAACTCGTAAACGAAGCCTCGGAGAACATTTTCGCAAAGGAAAAAGTTGCTTCAAACGACCTCGGGAACCTCCCACTTTCGGATTACGAGACATTTTCGGGATACACTGTATAGTAAAGCTAGAATAAAACCGATGGCTTAACTTCTTTTTATTTCCAATCATTTACACGTGAAAATGATTTTAATACATCGGTCGGATTATTCCATTTAAAGTGAGATCAAACACGACATGCTTTAGACCATATTTTTAGAGAAATTACAGTGCACGCTTCGTTGTCATTTTTTAATCGTCTAATTTATCCTCCAATATACTCTTAGCCTACTGAGAAAATGCACTTTTAGAGCATTTACTCTCGTAAAAGATCTGTCCATATATTGGGTTGGCAACTAAGTAATTGCCGATTTGTTCAATGAAATAAAAATTTTTTTTTACTTGGAACGAAGTTTAATCTGTAATGTATTTTCCATTTTGTTCGATGACCTTTAGATGTGTATAAGAGACAGCTCGTAGAAAGTCTGATCCTTTTCGGCCAAAAACTGAGTTAAGTGAGATTTTACAGCGTCATCATCGTTAAAAGTTTTACCACGAAGGGAGTTGTCCAGGGATCGAAATAAGTGGTAATCCGATGGCGCGAGATCAGGGCTATATGGTGGGTGTAACATCGATTCCCAACCAATATCCATCAATTTTTGCCGAGTGGACAAAGACGTGTGCGGCATAGCATTGTCCCTGTCTCTTATACACATCTAGATGTGTATAAGAGACAGCTCGTAGAAAGTCTGATCCTTTTCGGCCAAAAACTGAGTTAAGTGAGATTTTACAGCGTCATCATCGTTAAAAGTTTTACCACGAAGGGAGTTGTCCAGGGATCGAAATAAGTGGTAATCCGATGGCGCGAGATCAGGGCTATATGGTGGGTGTAACATCGATTCCCAACCAATATCCATCAATTTTTGCCGAGTGGACAAAGACGTGTGCGGCATAGCATTGTCCCTGTCTCTTATACACATCTAGATGTGTATAAGAGACAGCTCGTAGAAAGTCTGATCCTTTTCGGCCAAAAACTGAGTTAAGTGAGATTTTACAGCGTCATCATCGTTAAAAGTTTTACCACGAAGGGAGTTGTCCAGGGATCGAAATAAGTGGTAATCCGATGGCGCGAGATCAGGGCTATATGGTGGGTGTAACATCGATTCCCAACCAATATCCATCAATTTTTGCCGAGTGGACAAAGACGTGTGCGGCATAGCATTGTCCCTGTCTCTTATACACATCTAGATGTGTATAAGAGACAGCTCGTAGAAAGTCTGATCCTTTTCGGCCAAAAACTGAGTTAAGTGAGATTTTACAGCGTCATCATCGTTAAAAGTTTTACCACGAAGGGAGTTGTCCAGGGATCGAAATAAGTGGTAATCCGATGGCGCGAGATCAGGGCTATATGGTGGGTGTAACATCGATTCCCAACCAATATCCATCAATTTTTGCCGAGTGGACAAAGACGTGTGCGGCATAGCATTGTCCCTGTCTCTTATACACATCTAGATGTGTATAAGAGACAGCTCGTAGAAAGTCTGATCCTTTTCGGCCAAAAACTGAGTTAAGTGAGATTTTACAGCGTCATCATCGTTAAAAGTTTTACCACGAAGGGAGTTGTCCAGGGATCGAAATAAGTGGTAATCCGATGGCGCGAGATCAGGGCTATATGGTGGGTGTAACATCGATTCCCAACCAATATCCATCAATTTTTGCCGAGTGGACAAAGACGTGTGCGGCATAGCATTGTCCCTGTCTCTTATACACATCTAAAGGTCATCGAACAAAATGGAAAATACATTACAGATTAAACTTCGTTCCAAGTAAAAAAAAATTTTTATTTCATTGAACAAATCGGCAATTACTTAGTTGCCAACCCAATAGTTTCTCCATAGTTTATACACATTAACCCCTTGCCGTACTTTGACGAGTCCGACTCGTCATGAAAATTTCTATTATTAACTCATCGAGTATAGATATTATTTTGTCCTTTAAAATTGCAATAAAATTCTATTCTTTTGTCGTCAATATTTAAGCATTCAAGTAAATTTAGGTGCACAATAAGCATTAATTTCTTTTTCTTTCTAAGAAATTATTAGAATCGAAAAATTTCTAATCGCAGTAACTGCGAAGAAAATGGTATGTCAAGAGGTTAACCGAACCTATCGCGTCTTATCTTTTCAATAAATCCGTTAAATTACGAGAGAATCGTGGAGAAATAAAAAAGAAGAACTTCGAACCAACGAATTCTCACTCGAGGATCGTCGAGAACGGAATCCGCTTAACAAATTATAGAAGACTATTGACCGATATATCGTTGGGAATACCTCTTGCAGATTTATCAATTTTTCCGTTGTTCCCGCGCGCCCACTTGACGGCAATTTATAATGGCCGCTCGCGCGGTCCGAGCGTCGAAACAGACTCGACGACCGATTTCATTCCGTCGAACGATGATACTCGGCGCTTCGCGATACTGTTTTCGACGCAATATCGCAATTATGAGGGAGCCGTCGCTCAAACAAATGATAGCGGGTCGCGTTAATTTCGCATTCGACGAGCGTCCCTTCTCTGCGCGCACGGCCGGATGGGGTCGGGGTGGGGGGTGATCACGTGTGCGCGTGACGCTGGTTTTTGGTGCCCTAACGAATAATTACCAGTAATTACGTACCGGATACACGTGTTTTCTCTCTCGATCGGTGACGCAGTGTATGGTATCAGCAAGGTACGCTCGCAGCTAATCAAGCGGCCCAGGAGCTTCCATGCTCGTCCAATCAAGTTCCAGATCCGTTGCTTTCATTCGTTATTAATTGAGAGAGAGAGAGAGAGAGAGAGAGAGAGAGAGAGTTTAATTCGAAGTTCGCTTTCGAGTCTCTCGGCGAACTCTCTGTTATGCAGAATGGAGATCACGTTACTCGGGGAAACGCTTCTGGTTTAATCGAGACCTGAAAATGCACCGAAAGAAAACATTAATTTGCTCGGTTATTCGACTCCGCTTACAAATTGTTAATATCGGAATATCTTTTGCTATCATAGAAAACTTATTTCGCGTTCCATAGCAGTGCCATAGCAGTTCTTTTTTTACGTTCTTCGATCGAAACTTTCCAGCGTTTGCTGAATACGATATTCGCCGTCGTTCATTCATTTTGGTCACTTTCAGGTCACGTGCCAATGTATCGACATTTTGCCAAATAATTATAATTGTTTCGCAAGACGACGTATATTTATATATACTTATATACTTATTATTATATCTTAATTGTCATATTATCATGTCATATTATTATTATTATATTATTATTATATCTTAATTGTAATATAATGTCTCCGAGATAACCTATAACAATATCGGCGACGGTTGGCAGCACCGTCGACCTGTAATACCAAAGTAAACGCCTTGCAGGTTATCCGCAGATAAAAATCAACGAAACCGTCTTGTGCAATTGATATTATCTGTTGATGTTTACTAAAGAAAAAAAAAGCGTAGACAATAGCTCAGGGTTTTTATATCAATAACAGCTTATTTGTTCGCACTTCGACAATCATTTTGTTACTATTTGTACACGATACAGTTTTGTGATTTTCAGGTTAGAATGAGGGGCTGTTATGGTAGATAATGCTTGTGCTTTCTTCTATTTTCAGATTTATTTGTCATACACTCAAAATTAAATAACACAAAATCGCATAAAAATAAAAAAGGAATTATTATTTTTTATTAGATTCTGAATCCGGTAATGATCGTCCAGTAATATTTATCCAACGATGCGTAAATATTATCGACAGTGATTCCTCATCATCAGATTATTTCGTTTTATATTTTTATATTTTATAATATTATGTATTTTATATATATATATATATATATATATATATATATATATATATAATATAATATAATACAATATAATATATAAAATTTTATAATATATACAAAAATATAATACAATGCAATATATAAATAACGGTTTATTTTTTTTTGCGATAGAAGCCATGATTTAGTGAACTATCAACAAATGAAATTGCACCGCGAACGACGAGTACAGTCTCCGTCGTTCTGATCTTCCCAAACGTTCTGATCTTCCCAAACATCACGTTCTCAACGTTCACTTTTCCGTTTGCAGATAGCGACCAAGGTGGAAACGCATTCGTGCAGGCACGCCACGAAGCCGGCGAACAAAGAGAAGAATCAGAACCAAAGATGTATTCCATGTAAGTGAACAGTAAACGTAATCTTTAAGCGCGTTGCAGCAGCATGAGACGACTGATGCGCGTAGCAAAATGTGAATATGTATTATTTCCGAGAAGAATACATACACATCGGAAATTATCGCCTCTTCGCGATGAACGAGTCGGACTCGTAACAAATATTTCATGCGTAAACGGGTTCCTCGGATCATTTGAAGCAACTTCTTCCTTTACAAAAATGTTTTCCGTGGCACCGTTAACGAGTTATTAACGAAAAACAGTTGACCAATGAGAGGCGAGCTCGGCTGGTGCAAGGCCACCGAGCCAATGAGCGGAACTGGGCTTCGCGCGCTGGTTGACTGGGCCGCCTCGCGTCTGCCGTACTCGATTCTTATTGGTCACTGTTTTTCGTTAATAACTCGTTAACGGTGCCTCGGAGAACATTTTTGTAAAGGAAGAAGCTGCTTCAAATGATCCGAGGAACCTGCCATTTCCGGATTGCGAGACACTTTTGGGACACTCTGTACTTCACTGTTCGAGATCTCGAGATTCCGAAAGTTTCGGGACTGCGCTCGGTTCTCGGGTTGTCTCGGGTAGTCTCGCGCGGTCTCAGGTAGTCTCGGGTGGTCTCGCGCGGTCTCGGGTAGTCTCGTGTGGTCTCGTGCGGTCTCGTGCGGTCTCGTGTGGTCTCGCGCGGTCTCGTGTGGTCTCGTGTGGTCTCGCGCGGACTCGGTCTCTACGCATGAGTAGTATATGTAACAATCTACAAGCGAGACCGCCCGAGACTACCCGAGAACCGAGCGCAGTCCCGACTCTTTCCGACCCGTCTCGAACATCGGGTTCCCGAGATTCGAGCGGTTCTGCACACTCCTAGAAATTATTAACCCTTATTAAATTAAATGAACATTACTAAAGTAATCGATATCGTGGCTGCTCCTTAAATTTTCCATTTCTATTTCGCTGGAGATATTCAAAGAAGTGCTAACGAACGTAATTGTGAAAAAGATCATGCTGCAGGAGGGGTTAAATCGGCTGTTCACCGCCGGCGCGATATCTTCGTTCATCAAGAACGGTAGCGTTACAAATAATCAAGCTGCGAATGCAATTATCGTTTCATGCTGCGCGCACAACGTTGACAGGCGACGCCGAGGGTCGGTTTTAATTATCCGCCGGCCGGAAAAAAATTCCGGCCGGACGACGAGTCTAATTAGAAAACGTGGTTACATCCGCGCACTCTGCGCGCCGTGCTATCGTCGTACAAGGGTAAGACAAAAGTTGCAACGTCGCGCGCGCGTCGGTGGCAAGTGTCGAGGCTTGACGCGAACGCTTGTCTTTCGCACACAAATACCGTTATCCCCAGCCGTTTGTACGGTTCCTCCGGTTCCTGACTTGTTCCCGGAGCTCTTTTATTTCTTCGGCGTTCAATTAATCTTCGCCCATTCGTAGCTCATCCCGAACGAAACTCGGACGGAGCGTTAAGTATCCTCGAAAGTAACGACGTAACGAGAGAAAAAAAGATCCAACTCGACCGTTAATGGGAACTCTTTTCGATGGGCCATTTTGATTTTTCTGGTTTCTTTTTCTTTTTTTTCATTCGGACCTGAATATTTTAAATCTTCTTGTTCGCGCACGAGGTGAAGGAAAATTACGGTTTATTAATGATTTTTATTAGATTTTTAGAAAGGGCGACGCGAAGAAAACATCATATTGAGTATCATTGCATTTAAACGATGTTCCGGGGGTAATTGCTAATTTTCGGATCGCATCTTACAAATGTAAAAGCGTAAATTAAAAAATTCGGATCCCGTAATTTCGACGCGCGTCCCGTAAACCTAGCGTTAATTACCTTATTCTAATGAGCACTCCTGTGTATACAAAGTGACGATCAACTCCGTGCAGGTCAAAGTACAGATACGCCCTTAATTGTAAACTACGATATTCTCTTTTCCTCTCCTCCAGGGCTCCGAGCACTTCGGAACGCAGTATTGAGCTCCGCCCCACTCGCTCCGCCTCTCACGCTTCGCCCCTCTCGCTCCTCCCCTCTCGCTCCGCCCTTCTCGCTCCGTCCCTCTCGCTCCGCCTCTCTCGCTCCGCCCCCACGTTGCTTCCACCGGCCTACCGCCGCAGCGTCTCGCTCCCCCCGTTGCCTCGCTCGGCCTACCGCCCATCGGCTCACAGCCGACGGAAGCAACGCGGGGAGCGAGACGCTGCGGCGGTAGTCATAAGGCGGAGCCCAATGTTGCGTTCCAAAGCGTTCCAAGCACTGCTCTAACTCCACACGTTAATCATTGTCACTTCTTTTTCTGATACAGACGACTACAACAGAGTGGTCTTGGACACGATAGAAGGCGAACCCGACTCCGATTACGTAAACGCGTCTTACGTTGACGTGAGTATTGAATCGACTTGCTTATTCGTTATACTTTCCAATTTTCTCCTCCGCTGACCCACAAGGGGAGCTTCGGACATGGCTCGCGCCGATTTCGACGGAATTTGGAATAAGATTGTAATTGTTAATACACAGGGTGTGTCGCGTAACTGTCGCCTCGATTTTTCGAGGCACTTTCGACAGTCTGATGAAAAAATGTTTCGAATGAAAGTTAATCAGTACATAGTCGGCTACATATTGCAACGCAACAAATCTCAAATACTATTGTTTTCCGACCGAAAGTCAAGGTCGCCGTGACTGCTTCAAACGACACCCTGCATTTTCGACTTCGTAGGATCGTTGCCGATGAAATAATGAATCCAACGACCTATTATAATCGTTCAGCGACTTAGAGTTCGATTGGTCCAATGCTCCCCTTATCAGTGTAATATGGTGAACGGGGCGATAAGACTTCGTTTTTTTTTTAACGGTCACGTAAACGAGATTCGAGGGACAGGCAACGGCGAAACGTAAATAAACTGATTTGAAATTCTGCCGGGATCATGCGGATGATCAAGATCAGGGTTGACGGGGAGATATCAGAGTTCGAGAACGTGGTATCGTGACCGAAGAATTTGAATAATCTATAATCACGCCTCCTGAAATAGTGCGCGGGGGCCGTTCCCACGGCGTTGAAAGTTTATTTTAATGCCATGCCGGCGTTCGATCAATATGGACTTTGCGTTTCAGAGTATATTGCAACCGAACGCGTACATCGTCACACAGGGACCCACAGAGACCACCGTCACCGAATTTTGGCGGATGGTCTGGCAGGAGAAAGCCTGCTGCATCGTTATGCTGACGAAGACCTTCGACTTTATTCGGGTAAGAAGAATCCTCTTCCTGTTTCGTAATTCTACATTTATTGTTTAGGTTTTTAATTTTATTGTTAACTTAATTTCCACCTTCCTGTCCTAGAATTGGTAACTATAGTTTAGCAAGAATTATAAATTTTTGTTTACAAGATGCAGTAAACATTTTTGGCATAGTCTTCTTCCTAATTAGCATGCGATTGGCTGGAGTTAAACATTTGTAGCCATTTTATAAATATCTCTGCAGTTTGTTGAATCAAATTATTTTTTTAATTTATTTAAGATACATATATAAAATTTTATGTGATAATTTATTGTTATTAATTTATATGTATTATATAAATAATGTAATATATAAATATTATATAATATATAATATACAATAATATAATATTTATAATAATATTTATAATAATATTTATATAATATATTATAATATAATATTTATAATAATATATATAATAATATTTATATAATATACAATAATACAATATTCATAATAACATATATAATAATATTTATATAATATATAAATATTACATAAATTATTGTTATTAATTTTATATGTTTATAAAATTTGCAAAAACGTTGGCACTACGTAAAAGTTTGTAAATCACCGGCAGGAGACATAATCGTTTGAATGCGTGGTAAAAAATTGAGGATTTTAGGCAGCGTTCGTCCATGTTCCGCGTGATTTTCTTGTTCCGCGTCTTTATTTTTCAGCTTTGTGCACAAAATCCTGCCGGAATTGTAACTTCTTTTTTTCAGATTACCCTATTTCTCGCGGAGCGCGGAAAACGTGAATATCGGGCGAACAATTGCTGCCATAGGCAACGTCGCGCACGAGTTGACTGAACTAACTGATACCGAAAACGTACACGGGTTCCCCGAAACCGCGTTCCATGGAAACAGAGCGAACACGACAACCAATATTCCCAATCCGTATCGACATTAAATCATTCTCACGGTAGAAAGCGGTATAAATGCTTCGTATTTTGTCGAGCACCGTCGTCCGATTTCGGCGCGCGGATCAACGATTTATACGGTATGTGACGTTAAACGGTATACGCGTTTGATAAATCGGAAAAATCAGGGTTGTGCAATGTGTCCCAAAAATTTCTCGCGATCCGGAAATTAACTGAGAATGAATTCAAATTCCTGAGGTCATTTGAAGTAACTTTTTCCTTTACAAAAATTTTCTCCGAGGCGTCGTTTACGAGTTATTAACGAGAAACAGTGGACCAATGAGCGGCGCGCTCGACGAGCGCGGCGAGCGACGCGAAGCGGCAGAGCCAATGAACGGAACTGGGCTTCGGCCGCTCGTTGGCTCAGACGCCTAGCGCTAGGCGAGCTCGGCCGACGCGAGGCGTCTGAGCCAATGAGCGGTGCTGGGCTCCGGCCGCTCGTTGGCTAGTCGCCTCGCGCCAGCCGTGTTCTCGCCTCTCATTGGCCACCGCTTTTCGTTAATAACTCGATAACGGTGCGTCGGAGAACATTTTTGTAAAGGAAAAAGTTACTTCGAATCACCTCAGGAACCCATTTCCGGATTGCGAGACATTTCTGCGACATCCTGTAGCGAAGAGCCGGCGAACGTCTCGCAACTCTTGATCGTCGCTGGCCCGAGGACCGCAGGCTTATGCATGTGAAATCGACGGTGAGCAAAGTGAACGAGTTTTGAAAGTCGTCGGATGCCCGCTAACGACTACCGACCGCGTCAAAGCTGCCGACACTTTCGTCGCTTTCTTTTGCAAAAAAAAAAAATTTGTTTCGCCGCAACGAAATTCGAATTCACGTTCTACGAGAGTTTAACCCAGTTCGGACAACGAACGACGCCGAAATAGTTCCACTCGGTTTCAGGGATAAGTTATACCGCTCGTTATAGGGTGAACAACGTAAACAACGTTCCCATCGGCATCGATTCTCATTGAAACGGTTTTTCATTAAATTTGCTTGTTTGCAAATAGCAAATAATTATTTCGCTATCCCACGAGAGCTTGGCGAAATTGGAGCTCGACGACACTGGGGCGCAGCGATTGATCGGCTATTACTGTGCGGTCCGATTTTTAACGTTGCGTGGGAGTGGCGTAGGTGGGAGAGGTACGGTAAATGTTCCCTAATTTTCCTTGAATTTGTCAACAATTACAGAAACGAGATGCAAGGCTCAAATGAGCCGTTTATTTTGAAAGTGGCATAGGTCACTTTTTCAAAAAGATCGAGTCAATGGTAACACTAATTACAATTGAACGGTATCTTTTCATTAAAAAAAAAAAAAAAAAGAAAGTGACTTATTCCACTTTCAAAATAAACGGCTCAAACAATCGTATCTCCTTTTCCCGAATCGTCCATTTTTTTGTTTACAAGCTGAAAAAAATTAGGCAGAGTTTACTGTGTATTTTAATATTCGGATTGTTATTGTCAAAAGGATCACGGGAGCGAAAAAGTGGAACGAGACAGAGGTGGATTTTTGGCAACCGGTTGAATCGGTCGCGACTAAAAGGGCCGGAATATTGGAACGCGCTTGATAGAAAATATTGTGGGTAAAAAAAAAAGGAACGATGGAAGGGCCCCCGGAATCTTCATAATTCATTGGATAGAATTTAACGGTTCAGAAGGCAACGGGAAATCAGAGGCTCCTGGTCTGCTCTGCTGCACAAAAGCTGGAGAACGTCGCGCCCCATAATTCGTCGTCTTTATCGCGATCACGTGCACCTTTCGTTGTCGCGGATTTTCAATCAGTCGAACGTGTATTCTCCCGTGTATTCGCGTTCCCGTCAATCCCCCGAAATTCGATGGGTCGGTATTCGCGTTCGTCGAACGATAGGACAAATGTAGGTTTTACTGCGGACGCCTCAAATACTGCGGTATTTTATAAAAGTAATAAAATCTAATATTTTATAATGTGTAATATTCTAGAAATGTATCTCATAATTTTTTACATGTTTAATATTGATAATTTATAACATACAAGTGACAGCAATCGCAATTTCAAATTCGTTTATTGAGTTTTGATATGAAGTTGATATTGAAGCTTATGAAAACGTTGATATTACAAACGTTGATTAAATATTTTGATATTTAATAATAAGCTATTCATTTTAGCGCTATTATTAGATAAAGTAATCGTTGCTTTCGTAAAAGATCGACGCACACTGTCGCCATCGTCTAACCTCAAATATTATTTACTAACCTATTTGCCGCATAGTTTTTTTTACTATGCGTGTGCATTATTGTGGCGCTTTACCGAACTACGCACCTTAACCTGTACGGCGCAGTTCTCGATGAGCCGGTGCGAACACGCTTGCTATATCTAATATAATTATCCTCCTATTATCTAATTTGTAAAGTGCTACAGTGAGAATATCTTGATCCTAGGAATCGTAGCTGTGTGCGTACATTTAAAAGAGAATGGATTATGTCAACTTTGTCACGCGATCATCGGAACGTCCGCATTTATTTAGTTTGCAGTAATAGACATGTACATAACCACAATAATACATGGTTTCTTTACACGACGCTTTTCAATGAAATTCGTGTTTTCAGAGATCCAACAGTTTGAGAAAAATAAACGTTTCAAAATTAGAGAACAATAGGTATAGCACGAGTTGTCAAAATTTATCTCGGCGTATTCTTATTTTCTCTGCGACAGTTTGCTTTAATTGTGAAACACTTACCCTAACGAACGTCGGTCGAATCGTTTTTCGCAGGTGATGTGCGTCCAATATTGGCCGGCGAGCAAAGACAAGGACGAGGAGTACGGCGGGATCGGGGTCTCCGTGCTGAAGGAGGAGGAGCTCGCCAATTTTCACATACGGACGATAAGGCTTTACAAGAAGAACGAGAACGACGTGAGTGTACTCTCTTCGCCTTCCCCCTCCCCTCCACCACCGCCGCTGTACCAAGCGTTCGGCCGCGGATTCGTGCGCGTCGCGCGTGAAAAATTGACGAGCCCGGAAAGCAGACGCGCCTCCCCTCCCTCCCGTTGCGTGATACCGCCGCCATCAGCGCCATCGACTTCCGGAAAAATCGCTGGGAATGACAGCAGCGCTCGTGTAACAACCGGCGAATCGGAAACAGAAACGAATTATTTACAATGCCGAACGGATTACCTTTTTCGACAAACTGTCACGGATTTTGATAATGCTGACGTAACCGGCCCGCACGGAATTTCGCCGGGTTTTATGTCACCGTTACGCTTTCTCGGAATTTTTCCAAAGGCAACGCAAATTCGATCGTGATTTCCCGTCATGTTTTACGACTGCGAACGTTACGGGTGAAACGTTACGGGCGGCGACGCGCGCTCGTTTTCAGGCAAATGGAAATCGCTGTTTGTACGGCGAAGTGATCCTGCTGGGACTAGATTGTCAAGATTTGTATGTAATATAAATAATATATAATATTATATTATAATATATAATAGTAATGGAGTAATAATATATATAATAATAATATTACTCTATTACTATTATTATTACTATATTATTACTCTATATATATACAGAGAGAGAGAGAAAGAGAGAGAGAGAGAGAGTAATACTATATAATAGTAATAAATTATATTATACTATATAATATATTATATAACGAAGCCCTGATCAGCTGGCAGGAACACGCGCAAACTCGAAACTTGTCCGAAACTGGAAGGCGAACTCCCTAGAAAGGTTCCAGCAAGACTGGAGATCTCGGAATGAAAGAACGAAAGTTCGGCAAAAAGTTGGCCGGAATGAACTATAGAAGAGAACGAGGCTAGTTCGGGCACCGTCTCGAAACTGGGTGAACACGAAACGATACGGTTTCGCGTTCCGCCCGAGGTTGGGGGGCGGGCTGGCTGCGATGAATTTACTCGAACGACTCGTTACGCAAGACGTAATTTTATTAACTCCTCCAGAACTGTAATGAAAACAGGGAACACCGTTCCGCGATACCTCAGAGTGCTATCATTATTCTTTTCTTCTCTCTCTCTCTCTCTCTCTCTCTCTCTCTCTCTCTCTCTCTCTCTCTTTCTCTCACTCTCTCGTTAATTTACGAACATTATTTCTTATTAGTCGAATCGGTTAATAAAGCCGCCATCTCCTGGAACGTTTAAGCCGGGCGCGGTGCGCCATCGCGAAACACTTCGTTAATGCTGTTGATATATGCGCGGTCGTTTCGCGGTAATTATACAGTAGCTGCTCTGGCTCTTCGGATTTAACTGGTAACGTTAATCTTCGCGTATATTATTTATTCTTGCATTTAAAAGAAATATGCGGTTTAGACTCGTTCAGCGCAGATTTACCATTTCTTGGGGCGCGCGGCGATGCGACGTGTTCGCATTGGCGTCGACGCGTTACGAGCCGAGGGCCTGGCAGCTTTACCGGGGCGTCACTAGGTTAGGATAGGTTTTCGTGAACTACTTAATGCTTATTTCATCACCGAGGCGTCACTAGGTTAAGATAAATATTTCGTAAACTAGCCGTTGTCTATTTCATCAACGGAGAGTCACTAAATAGAAAGGCGTGGACTAGCTAATGCTTATTTCATCACCGGGGCGCCACTGTAAGGATTGGAAATCTCGTGAACTAGCCGGTGCTTATTTCATCACCGGGGCGTCACTAGGCAGGATAATCGTGGACTAGCCTGCTTATTTCATCACCGGGGCGCCACTAGGTTAGGATAGGTTTTCGTGAACTACCTGATGCTTATTTCATCACCGGGGCGCCACTAGATTAGGATAGGATTTCATGAACTACCTGATGCTTATTTCATTACCGAGGCGTCACTAGGTGAGGATAAATATTTCGTAAACTAGTCATTGTCTATTTCATCAACGGGGCGTCACTAGGCAGGATAATCGTGGACTAGCCTGCTTATTTCATCACCGGGGCGTCACTAGGTTAGGATAGAGTTTAGAGTTTAGTTGTCTCGTAACTTTTACAAAGAAAGAAATGGAGATGCAGCTCGAGCAGTAAAGGAATATATCTCTGCGAGTTTGCACCAACGTTTCGAATCAAGAAATAGAATAATTGAATTCGAGAACTTGATAGACTGGTAAAAGATACTATATTACAAGCTCTCAGTCCGATACAATTTAAATGCAGTTCACGGGCTGTCGCGTCGGTCGGTGTAATTGAAAAGGAAGCTCATTGCTGCGGAAGAAAACGATTCGCTGCACAATTGCGTAATAAACACCGTGCAAATACAAAAGATGCCGCCTTGACATGGCGTATGCGATTTTTCTTAGTCCGTTAATTGTTTCGTTACACGTCTGATTAGGATCCGTCCAGTCAGGATCCGTCAGGATATTAATGAACGAAACGACTGGCTTAGTTGGTCGCGTTTATCGAACACCCGTTAGCTGAGACAACTGGGAGAAATAATTTTAGCGATTCACGCGCGACTGTGTCATATTTAAAACCGCCATTAATTACTCCTAACAATCCGGCACAGTTTTTGCTTGCGTTCAACACTTAAAGGAACGTCCGTTGAATTGCAGGAGGTAACGGAGGAAAGAACATTGTTGCAATTCCATTACACAGAATGGCACTCTCACACGTGCCCTTTTGGAAACGCGGTTCTGGAATTTCGTCGGCGGGTACGAGCCGTCGTCGGCCCCACGAGGAAGAACGAATCCGGCCCGATGGTCGTCCATTGCAAGTAAGTCGCCCCTTAACAATACTCGGGGAGCCTACGTTTGTTAGTGTTCGACGTGATATTCGAGAATATCAATGGAATATAATGAATATCAATAAAATAATTAATATTATTATTATAATATATATATAATTTATATATGATTAATATTATTATTATTATATATCATATTTATTATTATAATTAATCAATAAAATAATTAATATTAACACTATGCCGTCCGGTGGCACCACGCTGGTGCCATGCGAAAAGTGTCTGTTGTATGCCGGTGGTACCACTTTGGTGGCATTTTAACACGTTGAATGGCACGGGGGTCACCGGTGACCGGCACTTAACTTGGCGGTGACGTCATGGGGGCCACCGCTGACCGGCGCGCCAAAATTGATAGAAATATATATATAATTTAAAACAAATGTCAATATCTAAAATTTTGCATTATTACCATCGTCAATTCAAACAGTGACCCCTGTTGCAATTAGCATGTCAAACATGGTTATACACTGTAACTTATCTGTTGCAGATAATATTTCAACATTATATGTATCACATAAAAGAAAATTCATCGTGGCGCCAATTGGACAATTTCTGTAAAACCGGCGTGGCATTCAACGTGTTAAAAAACTGAAATAACATTTGAACCATATCTCTTGGATGTTAAAAGGCGGCAAACTAACTATAGCATTGTGCTTATTTAACTAAGAATTAAGCACGAAAATTCTTGGATGGCACATCTTATTTTTAGGAATTTATATTACCGTATCTAAGATCTGCGGACGGCATAGTGTTAATAAAATAATTGATATTAATGAAATATTTAAATTGATTATATTAATATTATATTAATAATAATTATTATAATATAATAATTATAATAATTATATTAATAATTAAATTGATATTAATGAAATAATCAAATATCAATGAAACAAATGTTTTCTTGGAAAAAAGTGACGGAGGCGGCCGGTCAGGGGTGTATCTAGCGATAGACGCGAACATGGAACTGGCCGAGGAGGAGCACGCTTTCGACGTATTCGGATACTTGAAGAAGTTGCGGCAAAGCAGACGGGGACTCATCGAGGATATGGTAAATCGATGGTCACAGCTCGATCCCACCTGCTTTTGTTAGCAATTTATCAAAGACGTTATATTGAGCAAAAGCGATAAAAACGTTGCGCGTTCTCGCAGGTTCCACAGAATATACCTTGTTTTTATCTTGATTAGAAATCGATTCTCATCCGTTCTACGTTTCTCAGCTTATTTCGTCGTTCTGTGTGTCAAATTAAAAGAACGGGAAAATAAAGGAGAGCGTGTCAGACGTGAACGAGGGATTAAATCGGATCGATTTCGTTTTGTAATTAACGTTTTGTTGAGATGGTTTTCGTCAATTCGTTTAGATTTTCGCGGATTTCGTTAAAGTCTATTGAAAAACAAAACGCATCTGAGAGCACTTTAAAAAGTATGTTAAGAAAATTAGTGAATCAAATTGTAAGTGGTCTCGTAAACGCAATCAGTTATTTTTAGCCAAAAGATCCGCCGTTTTTTTTATTCCATTTAGGGTAAGTGTAAGTATTACTGCGAACGCACCAAATACTGCGGTATTTTACAAAAGTAGTATAGTGTGTAATCTTCTTAAAATGAATCTCATAATTTTTTATACATTTAATATTGATCATTTATGACGTACAAGTAACAGCAATCGCAGTTTTAATTTGTTTATTGGCTTTCGGAAGCTTGTAAAAACGTCGAGTCTTGCGAAATAGTCGTAATAGCAACTGCGGTGATTCGAAAGGCATTTATATTTTAGTAATTAATAATAAACTATTATAGCAGTATATTATATAATAGTTATTATATAATAAATTAGTTACATATAATAGTCACTGTATAATAATAGTTATTATATAATAAATTAGTTATATATAATATTATTATATAATAATAATAACTATTATATATTAGTTATTATAAGTTATTATAATAGTTATTATAACTATAATTAGTTATTATATAATAATAGTGTTATTTGTAAGTAATTAAGTTATTTTAAAGTAATCGTTACTTTGTAAAAAAAATCAACGTACAAGAATAATAGGCTCGAGTTGTCAATTTATTGGCATGGAAAGTCTAATTTTCTCAAAGTTCGCCTTCATTGAAAAACCGCAGTAATACCTACACTTACCATATACGAGAAAATTTCCCTTCTTTGATACATTCATTATTCTAGGAACAGTACAAATTCGTGTACGACACGTTAGAGGAATTCGTGGTCTGCGGGACATCATGGTTCCCGGTGTCGGAGCTGTCCCAACGTCTCAAGCAGAAGAGCGTAAAAAATCCAATAACCAAGATGAACGACTATCAGCGGGAATACCAGCAAATTTGTAAGCAAACGCCCCGTTTTACGATCGGAGATTGCGCCGGAGGCCACAGGGCCGACAACAGAGAGAAGAACAGGGACGTTCTAATAGTGCCACGTAAGTTTGCCCGCGACGAAAGCCCTTCGTCAAATCTAGTTCGATAAAATGAAGCGCTCGTGGTGAATGTATCACACGAGAGCATACGGACGCTAACGGATTTCGTGATGAACGGTATAAGAGACCCCCGGTGCAGGTTGTAGCAAAAAAAAGCAAGTTGTTCACAGTTGTTTCCTGATCTTTCTAAATCGAGGAATAGCTCGAGCAACCGAGTATTTATTTAAACGCAAGCATAAACATTTCTGTAAAATATATTCAATATACAATGAGAAAACATTGTGTATTAAATGTTCGATGCCACGAGTTAAACCGTAAGCGATTATTAGACTGCAGATTATTATATGCAAGAAATAAAGATTTACTGAATCGATTGTAAGGAACAAAAGTTAAAACTGTATTTCTGCTTTGAATAATTCGAATGAATCAAGGAGAATGTATGAGAAGATTCTAACGTCTTTTTTAACGTCTATTTATTCTATTTATATTCTATTCTATTTATATTTATATATATTCTATTTATATTCTATTCTATTTATATTTATTCTATTTATATATTCTATATCTATTTTTAACGTCCTTTTTTATCGATTCTAACGTCTTCGTCGTTTCTTATCTCGCGGTGACAATTTTAGCATTTATGTCTCAACTCGGAATTGTAGCGATTATTAGATGTCAGAATTGCAATTATAACAGATGTGCGAGATAGTTGCTTCAGCGTTGCGCTCGTGCGACCACATTTTGCATCGATTGCACATAATCCAATTTTCGCAAGGTTTACTGCTGCTGCTGCTGCTGCTGTATGGTTCAATGCAAACCAAGCAGAAAGACGCGTTTTCTCAGGAAACAATTTGTTACGATTTATCCGAGAATTGTACTCGTACCATTTATCTTCGCAAACGAGAAAATAATGTCTGAAAGGAACCGTGGATCTCAAGTCAATCGTTTGCATATGAAAATTGTATGCAATATATTATTATATGTATATTATATACATATGAAAATTATATCTACATGCAAAAATGGTATCCAATGGTATAATTTTGTCAACCTAATTTTTCTCGAAAACAGTCTTAATTGAAAAAATGTTATTTCTTCAGTTCGACTCATTTTTGCATATAGAATCACTTCTCAGCCAGGGAATCACGATTTTATAATTTTTATACGTCTTTTTTAACGTCGTTTTTTATGCGAAGCGTTGACTCCAGACCCAAGGTTTATTTCAAACTTCCATTCCTCCTGACGAGTACTGTACGTCTGAATAAAACAAATTTCACCCTCCGATCTTGACTTTCGAAGTCAAGAACAATTTTGTGGTCCACTTTTTTTAGCGGATCTCCACAGATCCGGAGGTATAGCATCACGCTCTATGGCAATCGTGGCGTATAATTTTTATACACCCTGTACATATAATGCTACAATATCGCATGTTCCAATCAGGACATTTTAACTATGTTACAATATATCCCCTGTAATACAACCTGCACCGATCGGCCGGTTTAAATGTAGTAACATGATAGCGCGGGAAACTAAATCATTTTATTGACTCCGTACCTGCTGAATCGTAGCAGCTAAAACCCTGCATCGATTAATTATTGTTAACTGTTAACAATTCTTACGTCAATTCTTACGTTGCAGTAATTGATTTTTCGAAAGCCTTTTTATTATACTCTGTCCCTCGCAGAATACAAAGAACATAATATAATAGTTGAAAGAACTATTTAAATGCTTGTTATCATTTATTATTGCCATTTTGAAAATTATTTTATTTCATACCTTTCACCAGGGCTGTATTACAGCAAGCAAATATTATACAAATGATGATTGAGCAAAGAGAATTGAAATGTATATCAGATAATAATGAGACTTGGTTGTTTGCAATTAACTCACGGTACCGTTACACCAAGCACGATCTGTAAGCTTTTCCGATCTTCCTACTTGTATGTATTAGATGAAAACGTAGCATAATAGTTGGTGCAGCGATATAAACAGGTACACTGTACTTGCAGTACAGTAAAGTCTCCCTAATTGACCCTCAATTCGTACACGAAAATGGACGATTTGGGAAGAGGAAGCTCAAATAATCCTCTTTCAAAATTGTCCATTTTTGTTTTCAAGTCGAGGGTCAATTAGGGAGAATTTACTGTTCAGAGTGTCCCAAAATTATGGTACTAGCAGGAAATGATTCCTCAGATCATTTGAAGTAACTTTTTCCTTGGCGAAAATGCAATCCGAGGCTTCGTTTACGAGTTATTAACGAAAAACAGTGACCAATCAGAGGCGAGGCGAGGCGGGCGCTAGATGGCTCAGCCAACGAGCGCGAGGCGGCCCAGCCAACGAGCGCGCGCAGCCCAGTTCCGCTGATTGGCCCGTCCGCCGCGACACCAGCCGAGCTCGCCTCTCACTGGTCAACAGTTTTTCGTTAATAACTCGTGAACGAAGCCTCGGAGAAAATTTTCGTAAAGGAAAAAGTTACTCCAAATGACCTCAGGAATCCCTCACTTCCCGGTAAACCCATAATTTTGGGACACCCTATATATCGTTCGAGCACCGTAGAATAGATGTAACGTTTTATTTTTCCTGAAACTTCAACAATATCATCATTGATAAATAATTGTTTTCCCATTTAGCTGACAACTTCCGACCATACCTCACCAGTTTCCAGGGTAACAATTACACTGACTATATAAATGCCGTCTTCGTGGACGTAAGTATGTCATTCATTGTCTCATTACCGTTTATAGCCGAACGTAACATCGCAGTCACATACATATACAGATTTATCAGACTTTACAATCTCGTTGAACTTTTTTTAGCAACAATGTGGGAAAATGTATCTTTTTGCTCTGTTGCGTGCAATTTCTTCGTGATCAAAGACGTTATGCATTGCGATGTTCGATCTTCGCTTCACGTGTCAATGCGAATTAAAAATTTCTTTCCTAATCCTTCTCGCCGGACGAGCTCGGGAGTCCATTCGAACCAGTGTTTGTAAACGGTCGAACGTCGCCAGCCATTTCGAGTTATCCCCTCGCTACTCGTTCGCCTCGCGCACGTGTTTCAACTACAGAGCAGTAAACTAAATTATGTTCGTCCTATGGTTCGGATTGGAGCCCGAGTCCGCCGCGATTGATTGATTGCCAGAATGTACGCCGTTTCGAGGGATTCAATCGTGAATTCTTCGTTAAACCCTTGCCGTACTTTGACGTGTTCGACGCGTCGTGAAAATTTCTAGTAATAACTTGTTCTGCATAGATGTTGTTCTGTCCGTTAAAATTGCAAGAAAATTCTAATCTCTTGGAATAACATTGGAATAAAATTCTAATCTCTTGGAATAAAATTGGAATGAAATTCTAATCTCTTGGAATAAAAGTGGAATAAAATTCTAATCTCGTGGAATAACATTGGAATAAAATTCTAATCTCTTGGAATAACATTAGAATGAAATTCTAATCTCTTGGAATAAAATTGGAATGAAATTCTAATCTCTCGGAATAAAATTGGAATGAAATTCTAATCTCTCGGAATAAAATTGGAATGAAATTCTAATCTCTCGGAATAAAATTGGAATGAAATTCTAATCTCTCGGAATAAAATTGGAATGAAATTCTAATCTCTCGGAATAAAATTGGAATGAAATTCTAATCTCTCGGAATAAAATTGGAATGAAATTCTAATCTCTCGGAATAAAATTGGAATGAAATTCTAATCTCTCGGAATAAAATTGGAATGAAATTCTAATCTCTCGGAATAAAATTGGAATGAAATTCTAATCTCTCGGAATAAAATTGGAATGAAATTCTAATCTCTCGGAATAAAATTGGAATGAAATTCTAATCTCTCGGAATAAAATTGGAATGAAATTCTAATCTCTCGGAATAAAATTGGAATGAAATTCTAATCTCTCGGAATAAAATTGGAATGAAATTCTAATCTCTCGGAATAAAATTGGAATGAAATTCTAATCTCTCGGAATAAAATTGGAATGAAATTCTAATCTCTCGGAATAAAATTGGAATGAAATTCTAATCTCTCGGAATAAAATTGGAATGAAATTCTAATCTCTCGGAATAAAATTGGAATGAAATTCTAATCTCTCGGAATAAAATTGGAATGAAATTCTAATCTCTCGGAATAAAATTGGAATGAAATTCTAATCTCTCGGAATAAAATTGGAATGAAATTCTAATCTCTCGGAATAAAATTGGAATGAAATTCTAATCTCTCGGAATAAAATTGGAATGAAATTCTAATCTCTCGGAATAAAATTGGAATGAAATTCTAATCTCTCGGAATAAAATTGGAATGAAATTCTAATCTCTCGGAATAAAATTGGAATGAAATTCTAATCTCTCGGAATAAAATTGGAATGAAATTCTAATCTCTCGGAATAAAATTGGAATGAAATTCTAATCTCTCGGAATAAAATTGGAATGAAATTCTAATCTCTCGGAATAAAATTGGAATGAAATTCTAATCTCTCGGAATAAAATTGGAATGAAATTCTAATCTCTCGGAATAAAATTGGAATGAAATTCTAATCTCTCGGAATAAAATTGGAATGAAATTCTAATCTCTCGGAATAAAATTGGAATGAAATTCTAATCTCTCGGAATAAAATTGGAATGAAATTCTAATCTCTCGGAATAAAATTGGAATGAAATTCTAATCTCTCGGAATAAAATTGGAATGAAATTCTAATCTCTCGGAATAAAATTGGAATGAAATTCTAATCTCTCGGAATAAAATTGGAATGAAATTCTAATCTCTCGGAATAAAATTGGAATGAAATTCTAATCTCTCGGAATAAAATTGGAATGAAATTCTAATCTCTCGGAATAAAATTGGAATGAAATTCTAATCTCTCGGAATAAAATTGGAATGAAATTCTAATCTCTCGGAATAAAATTGGAATGAAATTCTAATCTCTCGGAATAAAATTGGAATGAAATTCTAATCTCTTGGAATAACATTAGAATGAGATGTGTATAAGAGACAGATATAATATTATATTATATATATATTATAATAATAATAATAATAATAATAATAATAATAATAATATTGTAATATATATATAATAATAATAATATTATAATATAATATTATTGTTATATTATAATATATAATAATAATAATAATATTATAATATATTATATATAATATTATAATTGAACAAATAGAATTTGTAGAATACAAAATAGCTGCACCAATATTTCCTATGGTAAATTCTCACTGTCCAGTTCCGGTGTCATTAATTAAATGACTCTGATATTCTGTGAATTTTTTCGAGTTAATATGCGGCACTTAAAGTGTTAAACAAAAATATTGCTCACAAGACGTACGGAACAGAGAACGAAATATCTTGCCTACGCGAAGCTGCGAACCGTTTGTATTCGCGTTGTTCGTGGACCAACATGTTGTAATGTCTACCCAGCGGAGCACTTTTGCCTTCCCCCTATACGTTTTCTTTCGTCGGCGTGCTCGCGTTTTATGGTTTCCCGGTAAAAAGCTGTTCATCCCGTCGCTAAAAGTACATTCCGAACGCCAGGGCTACACGAAGCCAAGGGAGTACATCGTCACGGAATGGCCACTTCGACACACGTGCGGCGAGTTCTGGTCCCTGGTTTACGACTACGAGTGTGCAGCCGTGGTGGTTCTGTGCGTGCCGCCGCCCGGCTCCACGAATTTCCCAAGTTTTTGGCCGGAGGGGAAACACTCGAAGAAATACGGTCCTGTATTCACCATCGATCACATCAGTCACAATCACTACACGAACATCAAGACCTGGGTGAGAGTCGTTTTGGTCCCCGACCCGCGCCCCCGCTCCTCGATTCTCATGTTTATTTCACAGGCCATCGCGAAATTGAGCACCTCGCACCCTGTTACACGTTAATCAGGAGGGGGCGAACAGTTCGGAACAGAAGCGTTCAAAGGAACCTCTGTCTAACTCTCATTGAAATATTATTGTATTGTACCGTTTCAATCCTGCGCCGAACCATTGTTAACCCGTTGTCCTATAACTGGGGCGGCCAAAGCGTCGACCTCTATTCCTAGTCGCCCGTCTGTCTGATATTATCTATGTTTATTTTAAACTTAGATTTATTTTTGGCTTTAAATTACTGCTTTTCTTATGGTCGCTTGACACATAAGATCTTGATAGACGGCCGCCTATGATTTATAAAAGAAACAAGGTCGTCGGTCTATCTGATATTGTCTATGTTTATTTGAAATTTAGGTTTATTTTTGGCTTTAAATTACTACTTTTCTTATGATTGACATATAAGACCTTGATAGACGGTCGCCTATGATTTATAAAAGAAACAAGATCGCCCTTAATAATCAAAAGTTTGGCCATCCCTGCCCTATAATATCGTGTCGGACTCGTTATAACGATTTGAAGCATGATCTATTAAATGCGGATGCTTATCTATGTTTATTTTAAACTCAGATTTATTTTTGGCTTTAAATTACTACTTTTCTTATGATTGACATATAAGACCTTGATAGACGGTCGCCTATGATTTATAAAAGAAACAAGATCGCCCTTAATAATCAAAAGTTTGGCCATCCCTGCCCTATAATATCGTGTCGGACTCGTTATAACGATTTGAAGCATGATCTATTAAATGCGGATGCTTATCTATGTTTATTTTAAACTCAGATTTATTTTTGGCTTTAAATTACTACTTTTCTTATGATTGACATATAAGATCTTGATAGACGGCCGCCTGTGATTTATAAAAGAAACAAGATCGCTCGTAGTAATCAAAAGTTTGGCCACCCCTGCCCTATAATATCGTGTCGGGCTCGTTATAACGATTTGAAGCATGATCTATTAAATGCGGATGCTTATCTATGTTTATTTTAAACTCAGATTTATTTTTGGCTTTAAATTACTACTTTTCTTATGATTGACATATAAGACCTTGATAGACGGTCGCCTATGATTTATAAAAGAAACAAGATCGCCCTTAATAATCAAAAGTTTGGCCATCCCTGCCCTATAATATCGTGTCGGACTCGTTATAACGATTTGAAGCATGATCTATTAAATGCGGATGCTTATCTATGTTTATTTTAAACTCAGATTTATTTTTGGCTTTAAATTACTACTTTTCTTATGATTGACATATAAGATCTTGATAGACGGCCGCCTGTGATTTATAAAAGAAACAAGATCGCTCGTAGTAATCAAAAGTTTGGCCACCCCTGCCCTATAATATCGTGTCGGGCTCGTTATAACGATTTGAAGCATGATCTATTAAATGCGGATGCTGGTCGCGTCTTTTAAGTCGAAATTCTATTGCGAGCGATATTCTGTCCTGGGTTGTGCATTTTTTAAACGTAGAATATGATTCCGAAATAGAAAGTATGGGTTTATGATAGAAAACAAATACAAAATGACCTTGATATAACCTTGAAAACGCGCACGCATCGAAACACTAACAGTGCCATTTGATTGTCCGCTGCGAATTCTAAAAGATGCTTCATAAACGCTTCAAATCCGCCGTGTGAATAATATATAACAATAATATATAATAATATATAATAATAAAAATATAATAATAAATATAATAATATATAATAAATAATAACCGATTGAAAGCACGATTTGTAATCGACGAGAACGACCAGCCTCCGCACAAATGGATCCATAAGATTGTATTGTAGTTCTGCGTCACTGTATCCGATAATTTAAGGATCGAATTTCTCTCGCAGATCTTCAGGATAAACAAGAAAATTGTGTCGCTGACGGAACTTATGGCCGGCGTTAAAGCTCCACCGAAGACGGTTCAGCTGTTCCAGCTGACCTGTTGGCCGATGGGTCACAAAGTTCCAACGTCGACGAACAGCCTGGTGGAGCTGATGAACATGGTTGAGAGATGGAGACAACGAACGGATTACGGGCCGGTGGCGGTGGTCTCCCCCGATGGAAGAAGTCGTTGCGGCGTTTATTGCGCCGCGAATGCTTGTATAGAGCAAGTAATCCAGCACGGGGAAGTGGACATCTTTCAAGCAGTGAAAACTGTGCGCAGACACAGGCCTCAGCTGGTGGAGAACATGGTACACGTCGACAGCCTTTACTGTATTGTCGTTCGTCCGCGAGAACTTCTTCATATCGATTCTGACGAGTTGGGTTCGCGGGCAATTGCAAGAAGAAATAATTTTTGTAAAAATTCATTCGATTCATTCACTTTTGAAGATCGAAGTCGTTTCAAAGTCTTGCCAAGGTTATCCAAAAATCCGTAATAGATGAAATTATAGTCAAGCATGAATTTCCTTCTTTCTCCGATGATCTCAATACAGTAGTAATGTCTCCCATACTGACGCTCAGATTATGCACAAAAAGGGACAATTTGGGAAGTGGAGATACGATTATTCGAGCCTTGCAGCTCGTTTTTATAGTTGTTGACAATTCGTAACTATGAAAACGAACTGCAAGGCTTGAATAATCGCATCTCCTCTTCCCAAATTGTCCATTTTTGTGGGCAATCTGAGCGTCGATTAGAGAGACATTACTGTAATCTGAGCGCGTCAATTAGAGAGACATTACTGTTATCTGAGCGCGTCAATTAGAGAGACATTACTGTAATCTGAGCGTCAATTAGAGAGACATCACTGTAATCTGAGCGTCAATTAGAGAGACATTACTGTAGTCTGAGCGTCAGTTAGAGAGACATCACTGTAATCTGAGCGTCAATTAGAGAGACATTACTGTAATCTGAGCGTCAATTAGAGAGACAAAAAGTGCATGAAAGTGCATGAAATCCGCGGTCCATTAATTAGACAAGTTGTCACTGTGAACATCAAAGAGCAACCTTGTCCTTTCGACTACTTTATCGTCCTTCGTCGACTACTTCAGCGATTAATTGTTTCTCGTTCGATTGCGCAGACGGAGTACAAGTACTGCTACGACCTGGTGCTCCACTACGTGCTACACTATCTCAATAAAGACATGAACGAAAAGAAGTGAGAAAGCGAGTTGAGGGACGAGCTGTGGTTCATCGAGTTCGGCCGCGGAGCGGCGTTGCCGTTGACGCCGGAGGAGGCGCCGGCGGACGGGGAGCCGATGGTGCCCTGCGCCCAAGGCCGCGTGATCGTGGAAACCGCGAGGCCGGCGCCGCCGTACTTCGCGACGTGCACCAGGTACCGTAGAGCGTTGACCAGCACGCCGATCGAGATCGCGGACGTGACGTCGTCGAGCGTCGTCAAGCACATGGATCAGCCGTCGTTGTCTTTGGGCGGCAAGGGTGCCATCGGCAAGACCGTGCCGTTGCAAAGCTCGGCGGCGAGGCCGGAAGACCTCGACGTGACGTCCTGGTTCCTGGAGGACTATCCGACGATCGACACCTCGCCGGGGCCTACGGGCGATCACGGCTCGTATCCCTCTTGCCTGTACGCGGACGTCGAGCCCAGCAACAGTAAGCAGGACATGACCTCGACGAGGAACAGCAGCATGGAGAGCGAGCTGCCGCGGTCCTCGTTGACGAACGCCGCGCCCAGGAAGGCCTACATGGACCTGCAGGAGGCGATCGCGTTGCTGGACGAGACCTGTCCCAACCAGGAGCTCAGTCCGTCCCTCACACCGAGAACCCCGTTGACCCCGCATCCGAGGAACAAGCGAGCACGCTCGAAGAGCAGCGACAACTCCTCCAATTACAGCAACGACCGTCTCAGCGACCGTTCGTTCGAGTCGCGGCCGCCGGACAGGGACAAGAAACGGCCGTTCCTGAAGAAGATCGGTATATCGATGACGGAGGACAAGCCGTTCCTCGCGATGATCGCGCCGAAGATCATCGGCAAGCCTTACTTGAAGAAGATCGGGCCCAGCGAGGCCGTGGAGCGGCCGTTTCTGGACAAGATCGGCTCGTCGAAGACCTTGGACAAGTTCGTCTTCGACACGCCGCGACGCGACAAGAGGCCGGTGACCAGGAGCGAGACGCTCAGGGACGAGGGGAAGAGGCTCGCGATCAGTCTAGGCCTGAAGACGCTGAGGGAGCAGAAGTCGGTGGCCACGGCCGAGCCGTTCGCGGTCGAGAGGAAACGGTCCGGCAAGGGTCCTCTGTTGAAGATGTACTCGTTCGAGACCGAGGACCTGGAGTCGACGCTTCAGGCGAAGAACAACAGAGACCCGATGCGAGGCGCGTCCCTGGACGACGTGCTGGACTCGGGGCCGAGCTCTCTGCCTCTGGAGACGACGATCGAGGAGACACCGAAGCCGGACGCGAAGGAGAAACCGCTGAACGGCGCCGAGCTGTTGAAGTGTCGCGTGACAACCAGCGAGGAGATCATCTTCTGCAACACGAGCTTCGGCTCGGACAAGGAGCCGAACAGCTGGGGCAGCTCGCCGAAGAAGAAACACCAGCCGAAGAAGGACGCGACCGCGCCGAGAACGCCCACCCACTATAAAACTACCGCCGGCGGTTCTCAAGACGGCGACAGCGTGCCGAACTCGCCGACGAAACGGCCGATCTCGAACGTCTCGTCGGATCGCGGTGAAACGTCGCGGCCCGGCTCCTCGCAGCGGGGCGTGTACTCCCCGATGAAGATCAGGAGGCAGACGTTCGAGGACATAGTGGACAGAAACGGCAAGGGCGAGGAGACCGGCGGGAAGTTCGGTAAGCAGGCGCAGTTCGAGCGACGGGGCATCTCGTCGGACAACCTGCTGTCGAAGGATCGATCCGTGTCCGGTTTTCAGGCGAGAGATCCGATCGAGAAGAGCAGGGAGGCGTCGTCGGCGGACTCGCTGGCCCAACGTGTGGGCCCGGAGTACAGTAAAGAGACGTTCAAGCAGCTGCAGGACAAGTTCGAGCGGCACGAGGCTCCGATCGAGACGTACGCGGACTTCAAGCGGCGCACCCGTGGGAACGTTCAGAGCACGATCCTGAGGCAACACGAGAGATCGAGGATCGATCTGCCGATGGAGACTCGGGACGAGGACACGAAGGACGCCGAGGTTAAAACGGACGAGAAATCGGAGGCGCCAGGGTCGCCGGCGAAGGACGCGGTTTCGGCCTGGGAAGGTAGGAACGAGAGCGTTCGAAGCACCGTGAGGTCCGTGCTGAAGAAACAACAAGGCATCGATCATCCCAGCGACCAAGAGGACAACAGCGCGCCTGTGAGACGCCCGAAGCGGCGAATCGTCCACGAGCCTTCCCAGGAGACCATGGACCTGTTGACGGAACTGCGGAAGGTGAAAAGTCAGCTGAGAACCCCGTCGCAGGAGAAGGATCTGGAGCTCGATAAAACGCCGGCCCGTCAGCCTAGACGTATATTGTTGACCGACAAGGAGTTCTGTCTGTCCGTCGAGAGGGAGAACAGCGTGCGGCGTCCGTCGCGTGTTTTGAACTCGTTGGTTAGAACGGAGGAAGGCTACGTGGACGAGAAACACCGTGACGCTGAGAAAGCTGGCAAAGATGAGACCGACGCGAAGATTCCTGGACCAGCTCTGTTCGAGAAGAAGTGTCTCTCGTTGGACTACGCCGACGAGGAGAAGCCGCAGAAGCCGGAAGCCAGAGCCATCTCCTTGGCCTCCGCCAGGGATTTACCTTCGGGCATCGAGGAGATGAGGGACTACTCCGACCTGGCGTTGTACTGCGACACGAAGAGTTGTTCTTCGGATGTTTTCAACAGTCCCAGCGTGGAGGAGGTCGAGACGAACGAGCGCGGTAACGATCCGGTGAAGGAGGTCGAGTCGAACGGGCGCGGCAGCGATCCGGCGAAGGATGTCGGCAACAACACCGAGTCGAACCATTACGCGGAGGTCGATATTGCGATTCCTATCGATCAGAAGGTGAACAGTCCGAAAGGTAGGGTTCAGGTGCAAGGGAGAACGAGCGATCTGTACGAGATCATATCCCCGAGATCAACGCCTTTCCGAGCGAAGAAACGGCTCGGAAAGATCTCCGTCGAGGAGACGGTCAAGCCGGAGAGTTTCACCCTAGGTTCAAAGGTCGACTGCCGATCAACCGTTGCACAGAAACGGACCAAGTGCTTCCCTTTATAACGCATGCCGACCTGCCGGTGGGCGAAACACTCTCTGTGACGACGTTTTGCCTGCTTTTGCTCTGGCAGAAGTCCAGACCGAGCGTACAGGCGGATTTAATAGCAATCTATTCGAACCCTTCCTTCGAAAATCCGTTTAGATGCGATCAGAGTACTTCGCATCGTGGAGGTTTACGCTTTTCGTTGCGTTCATATCGTTGCATCGCGTATTCTGCTAATTGTTGACGCGGTAGGGTGAGTGTGGGCGTTACTGCGGACGTCCCGAATACTGCGGTGTTCTAGAAAAATAATCAAATCTAACATTTCATAGTGTGTAATTTTCTAAAAATGAATCTCATCATTTTTCATGCGTTTAAGATTGATGATTTGTGACACACGAGTAACAACAATCGTAATTTTAATTCATTCAGCGAGTTTTGATATTCGGAAGCTTATGAAAACGTCGAGTCTTATAAAATACTTGTAATACTGTGAACGTTGATTCGAGTTATGTGTTTTGGTAATTGATAATAAGCTATTTGTTTTTGCTATTTAATTCTAATAATAATAAGCTATTTATTTTTAGATAAAGTAATCGTTGCTTTGATAAAATATTGACGTACACTGTCACTATCATCTAACCTCAAATATTATTTACCAACGCTACTATGCGTGTACGTGCATTACTGCGGTGATTTACCGAACTACGTACCATAACCTATACAGTGCAGTTCTCGACGAGCCGGTGCGAGCAGTGGGAATATCTTGATCCTAAGAATCATAGTCGTGCGTGTACATTTAAAAGAAAGTGGATTATGTCAACTTTGACGCGCGGTAATCTCAACGTCCGCAGTATTCGGCTCGCAGTAATAAGTACATAACCTAAGTAACAGATACATATGCACATGGTTTTCTTTACATCACGCTTTTTAACGAAATCTGTGCTTTCAAACATGCAATATTTTCAGAAGATTAAATATTCAAGTTAAAGAATAACAGCTATAGCTTAAGTTGTCAATTTATTGGCATGAAAGGTCTTATTTTCTCTGTCAAAATTCGCCTTCGTTGAGAAACCGCAATAATACCTACACTTACCGCCTACCATTTTTGTCTCTAATTTCCTAGAAATTATATATTTATTATTTGCGACGAGTTCCGTTGTTATTAATCGTTCGAAGATGTCGCTCATTCTCAAGAATTCCGCAGGTACACGTGAACTTGCCTGTAAACCGTAACGTTAAGAGGTTGGAAGAATTTGGCACACCTTTACCACCGGTCCTCAGCTTCTATCAGGGCGAAAATGGCAACTAACATTTCGCAGTTTGCTCTTGGGGATAATCGCGCGCCCTCCCTTTGTCAAATGATCGATGTATACCCGTCGGACACTCGTACGTTTCCAGCGAAGCCGCTGCCAATTCAAGTCGTTATTAATTTTCACCGCAACATCGTCGCGAAAGAACCGTATTTGCCACCGTTATCACCGCAACCGCCAATTTCTCTCGCATGTGCGTCGACGTGTACAATCAATGAATCCGATCTACTTCAAACGCAATTTTACACGACAGAGAAGAACGTAGAACGCGAGTCGACAAGACAAGCGAAAAATTGAGACGGTGTTTAAACGAGACTCCCTCCAACTCGAGAAAAAACGGTACATTTCTCTCCGAGAACGGTCGTTACCGCGTTCCCCCCATAAAAAAAAACCGGGAGAGAAGATGCGCTCGATCGTGCTTCGCGAATCGATTCGACACGCAGATATAATTCTAAAAACGTATCCCCGACCACATTTTTAACCGACGTTTTCGCTATAGGAAACGGCTTGAAGAAGCTCGATAACCACTTCGAACGAAACTCACACTACAGGCCGTCCCGAAAATGTCTCGTAATTCGGTTCCCGAGATCGTTCGAAGCAACTTTCTCCTTTGCGAAAATTTTCTACGAGGCCTCGTTCACGAGTTATTAATGGAAGAACGCTGACCAATAAGAGGCGAGAGCTCGGCTGGCGCGCGGCGGCCCAGTCAACGAGTACACGGAGCCCGGTTCCGTTCATTGGCTCGGCCGTCTCGCGCTTCACGAGGCTTCGTCCGCTCGTTGGCTCGGCGGCTGCGCGACAGCTAATCTCGCGCTCTGATTGGTCACTGTTTTTCGTTAATAACTCGTAAACGAAGCCGCGGATCGCATTTTCGCTAAGGAAAAAGTTGCTTCGTATCACCTCAGGAATCCCCCTACTTTCGGATTGCGAGACAGAATTTTGGGACACCCTGTATAAGTCGTTGAAAAAAGCATCCCTTCGCGCGTGGTCAACATCCATCAACGACGTGACTCCTCCCTGTCGAGCAGTGCCTTGTTCGTGGATATATTTATTTAAACGAAGTAAAATGAAAAAAAAAGAGAGAGAGAGATTGAAGAGATCCTATCGAAGATATTATTACAAAAAAAAAAGAAAAAAATAATAAAAGAGAATAATACGAATTCCGACTGCAGGCCGGATTTTCTGAATGGGTCCACGGAGTTGCGCTTTCGGCGATACACGACTGACGACGATCTGTTCTTTGAAATGGCTGTTTCGTAAGTTTCCGATCCTTTCCCCGATCACAGACCAGAGAGAGACCGCGACCGAGCACGATCATCTGCTCGATACACAGAACACCGATCAAACGATATCTTCGATTAAAATCTAAATATTTTCATTCCCCGGTGAGTCCCGATTTCGCGCGGCTTGAACGCAAGCGGGANTCGATCGTGCTTCGCGAATCGATTCGACACGCAGATATAATTCTAAAAACGTATCCCCGACCACATTTTTAACCGACGTTTTCGCTATAGGAAACGGCTTGAAGAAGCTCGATAACCACTTCGAACGAAACTCACACTACAGGCCGTCCCGAAAATGTCTCGTAATTCGGTTCCCGAGATCGTTCGAAGCAACTTTCTCCTTTGCGAAAATTTTCTACGAGGCCTCGTTCACGAGTTATTAATGGAAGAACGCTGACCAATAAGAGGCGAGAGCTCGGCTGGCGCGCGGCGGCCCAGTCAACGAGTACACGGAGCCCGGTTCCGTTCATTGGCTCGGCCGTCTCGCGCTTCACGAGGCTTCGTCCGCTCGTTGGCTCGGCGGCTGCGCGACAGCTAATCTCGCGCTCTGATTGGTCACTGTTTTTCGTTAATAACTCGTAAACGAAGCCGCGGATCGCATTTTCGCTAAGGAAAAAGTTGCTTCGTATCACCTCAGGAATCCCCCTACTTTCGGATTGCGAGACAGAATTTTGGGACACCCTGTATAAGTCGTTGAAAAAAGCATCCCTTCGCGCGTGGTCAACATCCATCAACGACGTGACTCCTCCCTGTCGAGCAGTGCCTTGTTCGTGGATATATTTATTTAAACGAAGTAAAATGAAAAAAAAAGAGAGAGAGAGATTGAAGAGATCCTATCGAAGATATTATTACAAAAAAAAAAGAAAAAAATAATAAAAGAGAATAATACGAATTCCGACTGCAGGCCGGATTTTCTGAATGGGTCCACGGAGTTGCGCTTTCGGCGATACACGACTGACGACGATCTGTTCTTTGAAATGGCTGTTTCGTAAGTTTCCGATCCTTTCCCCGATCACAGACCAGAGAGAGACCGCGACCGAGCACGATCATCTGCTCGATACACAGAACACCGATCAAACGATATCTTCGATTAAAATCTAAATATTTTCATTCCCCGGTGAGTCCCGATTTCGCGCGGCTTGAACGCAAGCGGGAACAAAAAATTCTGATTTCGATCACGAAATTAACGCGAAGGAAAATGTTCGAATTCGCGGAAGAAGAACTGCGAACGACGGGAGTGTGAATCGTTGCTAATATGCTCGGTCGACGTTCCGGTTAACGACAAGTTATTTTCTCTTTCGCGCGTTACGTTCGAGGTTATGTTCTCTTCGCCGGCGTCTCTGTCGAGAAGAGCTCGCTTAGATAATTCAAGGATCGTTAAACCGTGCAATGAACCGCTCCGCAATTTCCTTTAACATTCCCCGATCGATGATTTCAATCATCCTAGAGTTTCCATTCAACGTGAGAAACCGTGAAACACTTGAACATTTCTCTGATACGACGAAGTTCGTCCCGTGGCAACGAGGAACGGATCAAAGAGATGATCGTGACAGATACTTGAACTTACGAGAGTGCAACTCCCACGCTTGCCAAGCCTATTCCCTGTTCGGCGAAGCGCGTGACGTTTTAACGACACAAACGTATAGATCTAAATATAATAAATATATTATATATAAATATATATATATATAAATATAAATATATGTATACATACATATTAACGATAACAAATTGTTGCGTTCCTCTTATAATTTTGTTTAGCGGTAGACAAAGATCGACGACGGTAGTTAATGGAATAAAGCGGAAAGTAATGTTCGATGTAAATATACAAGGTGATCCTAGAAAATGGGCCAACGAACATCAAAAGGAATTCGGTGCGGACGATGGTGCATTTTTCAACGGCTTTCGGCTCCTCGAAAATTTATTCTCTGTAGAGGCACTGCTGCTACTTTCGATATCAAAAATCTGCATTTCGATTTTATTACGTTTTAAAGAGAAACCAAAGCACGCCGAAGTTTCCGATCTTTTTTTTCAGTCATCTCGGCTTGTCGATCTCGCAACAATTCATTTCCCTTCGACGATGTTTCCGGCAATATCTTTTATTCGGTTCTCTATTCAGGTTGTATGTCCATTTTTCTGATCACCCTGTAAATAAGTATTCATACGGGGTGTCGGACAAGTTTCTTATTTACTTTCAAATTCTATTCGATGCGATTTTTCGAATTGTATTAAATCGTATTTCGCTGGCTTTTTATCGATGCTTGAATTACGAACGAATTCAACTTTTCGGGAATCTCAGAATCGAATTGGGTTTCAGCCATTCGGCGCTTATGGAAGCCTTCGTTTTTATTCGCAGAACCTACGAGCAACTGGACGAACTTTTCGGACACTCTGTACATGGAATAAAGTACGTACACACTGTCGTTATCCCGGGTGGAATATTTGTACGTATTCTACGACTATTAGAGACTAAAGCGAGTTGGTATATAAATATATAAATATAAATATATATATATATATTATATTATATATATTATGTATATTATTATATATATATTATATATATAGTAAGTATATTTATACATGCATACGAGTGTACTCGGCGACAAGTATACAGACGCGTGTGTATTAATACCTGAACAGGTATAATGTGTGGATCCTATAGTTGACGAAATGTGCCAAAGATACGATTTATTGTATGTTAACGAATCACGTTTGTTGTAAGTTGTACAGTCTGTCCAGGAAGTGCGGGATTTCGTGGCGCGAGCTGCGCACGTTTCGGACACCCGTTGGAAATGTACTTATAGATATAGGGGTCACAGAAAGTGTATTGCATCGCGCGTCGAGGATGGTAAATAGTGTGTTAAGCGTAGAGAAATGTCCGAGAACGAAGCGTTCCACAAAGTGGCAATATACATACGTACCGGGTGTCTTGTACATCGTGATCATTCGCGGTGATTTCGTTGCTTTCAACGTCGAGCAAGCATCGTGCGACAAGTTGCTGGTCGACACAACGACATCGTATTTGCGTCCTAAGAAAAATTACGAAAGGAAAAGATCATTTTTGCTGCTACTTTTTATAATAATCGTCTCCGATAATATTCGTACATCTTCGTAATTGTATTCCAAGTACAGTAAATTCTGTAGGAGACACAATTATTCGAGACCCGCGGCTCATTTTTATAGTTGCCAATTATCAACAATTATAAAAAACGAGACGCAAGGCTCGAATAATCTCTCCTCCTACCAAATTGTCCATTTTATTATTATTATTATCATAATTGTCCATTTTCGTATACTTAAGTTCCGTAAAAATACTCTGATAATCGGTATAAATCAAAAAATTTTATATATTATAAAATAATATAATATAAATATATATAAATAAATATATATATATTAAATTTCGTATAGCAAAATAATATGATTATATATATAATATAAATATATATTATATTATATATATAATCATATTATTTTGCTATACGAAATTTAATTAGAGATTAATTATTCCATCTTCTCGACTGAACATACCACCAGTGATCCCGATGTGCAGG